GTATTTGGTTTGAGCTTCCTCTTCCTCATAGGATGAGCAGAGTTGGGAGTATGGCAAGACACAGATGGCAGCACCGAGGACTCTTTTCCTGTTGCGATCTGAACCTGTAAGATGATGGCTTCTGTCCCCTCCCTTACCCCCCCCCCCCCGCAACTAATGATGGCAGGTCAGAGCTGGGAGTTGGGGGTTGGCAAGTCCTTTCGCCTTGCACAAACAAGTATCCCTTCAGGGGACACAGAGTTGAAGTAAGGTCACCTTTCCTGCAAGGAGCTCAAAGTAGTACTTAAGGGTGTCATCCCCCCCCCAATGTCCTCAGAGCAACTCTGAAGGAAAGGATAAGACTTTGGAGTGACTGTCCAAAGTTAAGTCATGGTTGTAGTGGAGATTTCAGCCCAGATTCTAGTCCAACCCTTTAACCCATAGGTTTTCAACCTTTGTGGGTCTACGGCTCCTTTGTCCAACTACATTCTTTCTGTGGCACCCCTGTGGGGCTCAGAAGCCCAATTATGTCACCCCTTGCCTGCAGAGCTGGCAGCCTCTCACCCTTTTTTTGAACACCCTCCTCTCCCCTCTCCTTGGGAGTCCTCTGGGCATCTGCAGCTACCACCTCTGGTCTCTGAGCTGCCCCCCCACCCCAAAAAGAAGTGCTGCCTCACCCTGCCCCACAGGGAAGCACCCCCAAGCTAGCCCCAGAGGCAGCATTCACCTGAGGAGCTGCTGCAACAAACAGCTGTGCACGGCTTTGGGAGGCAGAGACGCAAGAGGGCATCAGAGGAGGGAGGGAAGGAAAGAGGGACAAAGGCCAGTGATGCCCATGGCACCCCTTACCATCATTCAAAGCACCCCACGGTGCCATGTCACACTGGTTGAAAACCACTGCTTTAACCACTCCACCATCTCCTTCCCTTGTAAGAGGCAGCCAGGAGCTCTGATGACTGTGCTGGAAATGAGATATGACTCACCTGTGAACTCTACAGCTGCTTTTATCATGGGCTACGCTGTCTGAGGCAATTGAACCTGTGGCCATCTAGGTGTTGAGGATGATAGGAGCTGGGAGTTGGGCATCCCCACCCCTCAACTGAAGGATCTTTTTACACAGTGGCCCATCTTCCTCTCCCTCCATTTCCCACAGTGGAAGGTCCAGACTTATTGTGAAGGGAGAGCCTGTGTGGAATAACTTAACTATGTTGTGCTTTTGTTAACACAGGCTGGTACCTAAACCCCAGTCTAACTTGAGGTGTTGCACATTGAGTATAGGATACCTCTATGCCTGCAGGAGGCAGGGTACAAATATGTTGAATAACACAATCCCTACAATAATTGTGCTTTCTAGCCCTTAAAGTAGGCATAGCAGAGGGTGGCAGTCCTACTGGGTTAGGTGTTGCTCAAAAAAATGTCACATTAAAGCAATGGCCTTCCAGATGTTGCAGTACTAGAATCATCCTTGACCGTTTGCCATGTTGCCTGGGGCTGATGGGTGAACTACATTTGGTGGGCCCGTGTTTCCCAGCTCTTCCTTCAAAGGTTTCTCAAATCTTGCCTTCCTTTCTGAGGGGTGGGCGTGGGACTAAGCTACAGAAAAAGTTTTATTGGACAAATGTTTTTGGATATGCAAAATTGTCCTTTGGGGACCACAGTAACTGCCAGGCTTTGGGAGACAGCCTTCTGTAAGCTGTTGAGAGAATGTTGGTGTAATGTGCCAAAAAAGCTCTAGAGTTTCAAGGAAGAGAGTGCTAAATGCTCAGTTAAATAGGACCTCAGGGAATGTAGGTGTTCCAAGGTGTTGCAGTTCTTCTGTGTGTATTGCTGGAAATGCAGTTAAATGCACCCCTTGGAAGTGAGCTGGCTTTTGCTTGGAGAATGAGTTCCCTCTTCCGCCTCATCACTGCACATCACTGTCAGGTATTTTTTGTGTGTGAGGGGGGGGGGGAGATGTTTCTCTACATTGAGGCAGTAAAATGCAGCAAACCCAAAGCAAGGAAGTCCAAGATCTCTAGTGTCTTTTGACATACACATTTAAAGTGAATTACCAAGGTAGTGATTTTATTGTTGTACAAAAGTACTATATTCCATAATGAAAACAATTTGAAACAAGACTGCACAGAACATCTAGTAGATGCATTTGCCTTCAAGGCAAATGTGTAACTTCCTCATCAAGGAAGCAGTTCAATGAGGTGAATGGAAGAAGGAATGAAAAACGTTTTCTCTGGCATTGTAAGAAGGGGTGGGTGGAAAAAGACACAGATTTTGCTTTCTATAAGAGGACTGGGGGTACCAACAAGATGGCACTTTGCCCCAAGGCATATATTGAAAGTCTCTGGTCAACGCTCTCACTCTAAAGGCATGATCTGAAAGGAAAAAGGAATGCAGAGGGAAGAAAGCACGTACTGGTTGGTGATGGTACCAAGTTGGTCTTTTTGCCATTACAGGTGACGTTCTATATTAAGGGAGTAGTCTTGCTAGACTTTGCATCGGTATGTGTGATGGGAAAGAAAGAGGAGCTTGGAGAATGTTTACAAAACTGTGAAGGTAGGGTTTAGACAGAAAGTGATCACTGCCATCACTATACATGGTTCAAAGGCACTGCTTAGCTTGGCTTAATATGCTGCTCCATCCTGCTCTCCCTTCAACTCAGGCAGCAGAGGCCAAGCTAGGGCTCATAGCTGTGTGATGATGGTTTTGCTTGGAGGGTCCGGACAATCTTGAAGCCACGGACAGCCAACACAACGGCAACAGCGAAGGCCACAATGGCTGCCCCAGCAAAGAAGCCCACAGCGATCTCTGCTCCATGCAAACTGCAGCCAAAGCCCCTGTAGCCTTTGCTCTGGTAGAGGTTCTCTCGCTCTTTGCACAGAGAGGAGGCATAGATCTCGTGAAGGCGATGGTAGTAGAAGTACAAAGCTGGCACAAGACCAATTGCAATGGCCACATCCAGAATGGCCTCCGCTATCAGCCAGGCTGGGCAATGCCAGGGCACTCGGAAGAGACTAGCCACAATCTGGAAGCAAGCAAAGGCCATCAGCGCCCCTCCAACTGCCATGGCCACCTGGGCCGGTGGCACCTTGAGTTGGTGGAACTGGGCATCCAACTGCTGTGCCTTCTCCCCGTCAGCTCCACTGAGGCCACTGTAGGCCCCGCCGTATTGGTAGTAGTAAATGCTCCCCAGACTGAAAAGACCAGTGTAGCCACCTGTCGAATTGTAGGAGACTGAGCTGCAGATGACAATCAGCATGCAGAGGAGGAGCTGGAGCTGTTGGCAGCAGGCTAAGAAGAAGCAAGGGCAGAGGGGGTGCTATTAGTGCCATTTCTCTAGTGCTGTGGGGCCCTCAGCCTGTGTGGAACATGGAGAAACGGGGAAGGCACTTGGCCCCTCCAGGTCCACTCATAGAGGTCAGCTTTGTGGGTAGATTGGATCCCAAATCTTACTGGGGTTAAGGGAGCATATCTGAGCAGGCAGCAACTATCCTTCCTTCCCTGTTTCTACCAGGGCATCTTCTGCCCCAACGCCACATTGAAAGACTTTTCATACCTGAGGTTAGTGACCTCAGAGCTCCCCTCATGTTTCACCCTTAGTTTTAGGCCACGGATAGGGAACCCCAGGCATCAAATATGGTTTCCTGGGTTCCTCTACATGCCTTTTGGGACTTCCCCAGGCCATACCCCATGCAAGCCTCACCTCACGCCCCTGCAGTGTTTTACCTGCTGCAAGAATGCCCCTATCTTGCTCCCCTGGTGGAGACACAGGGAGAGAGGGATGTGTGAATAAATTAACATTTGTTGCCCCACCCACACTGGCCATATGGCCCCTGTAAAGTTGACTAGAATGGAATATGGCCCTTGGGCTGAAAAAGCTTATTCACCCGTTTTAGGCTGGGAGGAAACTGGGGTGACCTGGCAGCCTCGTGGGTGCCACCCTACTCCCTGGAGGGAGCTTGTGCTGACCACAGAGGCCTGAGGCTTGTGAAAGAGCAAAGTGGTTCAGTCCAGGTAGGGAAAGGACGTGAGTGGCCAGCAGCGCAAGCCAAGCGGCTGGAGTGGGCCCTGCCAGACAATACGGGAGGGGGGGACTTGCCCATCTGCTTGACGGCTGAGCAGCACTCACTCACTGCCCCCCTTGCCAGCAAGCTGTGGGGCCACAGGCCTGCCCCTTGCGACTTTTGGGCAGCCTGCGAAGAGGGGGATGGCAGCGTCTGGCTGGCAAGCACCCCGTCCCCGCGAGGCAACAGCCCTTTTGCCCGCCCCATCAGGGAAGCTGCCAGTGGCCTCGCCGACACCGTGCTCACCAGCAGCGGGGGAGGAGGAGGAGCTACAAACGCAACCCACCCCCATCGCAGCCCGGGCTCCTCATCCCACGAGGGAAGGGGGCGTGTCGTCGACATCGTACCGCCCTGACCCACCCCATCGCGGGCCAGTAGGGACATCTAACCCGGCCCGGGCCCTCACCTCTGGCCGTGCACAGGGCGCGACATAGCGCTTTGTCCAGAAGGCCGCCTCCGCCTCGGGCCTCGGCAGGGGCGTCCAAAGAGGCCAGTGTGGTGCCTCGGGAGGGAGGGGGGCGGTGCTGCTGCTGGTGCTGCTGCTGCTGCCGCCACGGCCACGGCTGCTCTCCTACCGCCACCACCGCCGGCCGGTCGTGACGCCAGTCCCGCGGCTTCCCGGGTCTCCTCCCGGCGTCCGCCATGGCTCGTAGCCTGGTGGCGCGCAGGGAGGTCTGGGTGGGGCGTCCCAGGTGAGCGCGGCGGCGCCGCCTCCTGGGCGGAGATTGGCCGGGGTTGGTGTAGGTGGGAGGCAGGTGTCCATCTCGCCTAGGAGCCGCCGCCCGACAGAGGGGGCTCGTCGCTGCCGGCGCTTGCCGAGGGGCGCTTCTCCAGCAGCCGTCGAGGAAGTCAGGGCGGGTCTGGAAAGGCCCAAGGCAGTCCCTGGACAAACCGCTATTGCTGCCCGTCCAGGCCCGATGTTCGGTGGTCCTGGTGGCCGCTGGCCTTCCTGGTCACACCACAAGATGGCTTTTTTTTTTTTTTGATGGAGCGGGAAAAGATGTCCAAGGGCGCCAGGGCTTCTCCGCCATAGGTGCGCCCCTCCCTCTCCCGCCCAACTCGGCTGGCTGCTCGCCCATTGCCCCACTAAGCAGCGGTCTCTTGGGATTCTTGGCCATACCTGACTCTGGTAACAATCCAGAATTAGAGTTTCCCTGGAGAGAACTGGAGATCCTTCTCAGCACCCTGATGATGGCACTGCCCTTTGCAGCCTTGGATGGTCTCCCTCACTGGCTTTGTGTTGATTCTGAGCATCAGGGGGTGCAGAAATGGACCCGGTGCAGCCCTTCCTCATTCTTGTGGGACTGCACAGAAACCACAGGACAGGAAGGAATAGAACCACTGCCACTCAGTGCTTGTCCATCCGTGGCTCACCCTCTGCACATCCAGTTGGGCAGGAGTACAAAAAGAGCCTAAGCCCATGGGAAGGGCATGGCTGCTGCCAGCTAAAGTAGAGGCTAGATGATCCTCTGTTCTGACGGTATTCATTCATTCACTCACCTGTTCAGCTGAAAGCAGGAGGCAGGGATGAGGAACCTACAGCCCACCACAAAATCCCTGTCACCATCAGCCATGCTGGCCAGAGGAAGCTGATAGGAGTTAGAGTCCATCCTGACACCAGAGAAGTCCAGCAGGTGGATCAGGCCAAGTTGAGCCCCTCTTGCCCAACATCCTGTTTCTAATCAGACATCACTGAGAGTCCCACAAGCAGGACCAGGATGTTGCCCACCTACAGCAGCTCAGATTTGGCCTCTGGGCATGGAGGCTTAATTCAGTGCTCATGGGTAGTTGCAGTTGCTAGACTTATTCTCCCCCATGACTTCATTTATGACCCTGTTTAGGCTGTCTGTCTGCAAAAAAACGCAATTACTTTTGGTACCTTCATTATTTTGAGCGTGGAACAATTGCTCATTTGCTCTACCCAAAAGTAACAAGGGGAAGGGATTTACTTTCTCTCTGTCTTCTCTTACACAAACATAACTTGCTAATCTGGGCAATATAACTGTGTCCCATGATTTCAGAAGCTGGTTTTAGAAAAAATTAGTCTTTGTATCCCAGGGGTTCTCACCAAATGCAGCTGGGCCAAACTCTAGAAAGCAACTGAAGCTCATCCAAGGAGGAGACCTTTTCTGCGTTCTCTCCTCCACCTCGCTGCCACCTCCACCACCTTCCTCCTCTGCTTTCCAGCTGGAATTTCAACCAGAGGCTCTCCCGAGAGATTCTCATCCCCAGGTACCACTATCTTGGCTGAAGGCACCTTGTTTCTCAAGGGCAGGCAAGAGCAGAGAGCATTGTGCCACTATGGCTTGATGGGAGGAACCTTTCACTTACTGTCTTCTTTATATTTCAAGTGGTTGTCATGCCAAAGGCCTGCCTCCTCTCCATGGCCTGAAGTTCCATGATGCCTTCATGGTGAGGGTGAGGCAAGCATGGGCTCAGGGGTGTGTGAGTTGGCCATTGGTATCTGGGTTCTGAGGGCTTTGGGGAAATGCTAACCTAGTTGCCAGCCAGTGCTTCTGCCTCCCCCTCCCCCCAATTGCATTTTTCTAGCCAGATGGTGTCACTTCAGGTGAAGCTGGCAAGGTTTGGCTCTGATACACTTCTCCCTTAGCTCTGAATCCTTCATTGAATTATTTTGATGAGGGAGGAAGAGGGTTTTTTTTTTTTTTGCATTTGGGTACTAGATTTTGGGTACTGGCATTTTATGGAGGCCTCCTCCATAGCAATTTGTGGTCACTGATTCAGCGTCTTAAGGAATGCTCTTTGTATTTCTGCTCAGGGGCATTTTGTCCATCTAGGTATCTCTTGGAGACTTGTGGGACCGAAGTACTTTAAGCAGCATTTCTAGAGGCAGAGCTTCTGCTTTGCACAATGAGAAGGTCCAAGTGGAATGGTGGAGGCTGCTCCATTAGGGTGAATGGAGTGGAACCCTACCAACCTCACTCTGGCCTCAGCCAGCCCCACCTGGATTTGTGGGTGGGTGGGGAATATGGGGCTTTAACCATTTTGTCCCCTGTATAGACTTGATTAAGATGGTGTATTTGCATACACACATGCTCAAGCCAGCAGTCTGCATGCCTGTGTTTGGGTAGGGGAACTTCCAAGGCCCGAATCCAAATTGGAACCATAGCAGGGAGCAGACAGATAAAGCTGCTCTACCCTGATACCATGGTCATGTTTTGGATTGGGGCCCCCAGCCTGGCAACGTGTAGAAAACAAACAAACAAAAAAAACTCCTTCATTTAAGAGCTAAAATAATTTTGTGATAAAATTTGTGATAAAATAATTTTGTAAAATAAATTTGTGATAAAATAATTACCGGTATCCTGTTGGAACACCATCACCACCCCACTCCCCTACAGATGTGTATATTGCTAGCTGGCATTGGTGTATTGATTACCATCTAGGTTGCAAAATGTACTCTGACTGCTAGAAAATTAAAAGCCAGAAAAAAGGAGGGGGCTGTGTATGAATGGGATGTGCTTTTGCTGTGTTGTGTTTGTAGTGTATAGGCACAAGTTTATATGGAGGGTACATGTCCCCTTTGCTTCTGAGAGAAGTTGTACTTAAATTAAGCACGAGGTGTTTTTATGCAATACTGTATGTTAAGAAACCTGCATTTTCCACATGTATTCTATATTACCATTTTTGTATTGAATTGTGGTGGCCTATGGCTTTGAACAAGAAAGAGATACTTTAGTTGGACCCTCAGGGCAGCCTGGAGCCAAAGTTATGAGTCACGTGCTCTGGACAAACAAAGCTGTGTTGTCCCTCCCTCTGGGCCTTGCTAGGGATTGCTGCTGGGATTTTCCATGAAACTGTAAGAGGGAAGGTGGAAACCAGTATAACCAAAGCACAGGGTATTTTGCGGTTATCTGGATCTGAAAAGACAAAGCCAGAAGGAACTTGTGTGCCACATAGATGGCATCCTTGCATCTGATTTTAGGAAGTGGGAGGAGACTGGGCAGCAGTGCCACGTGGCAAGGATGTCAGGACATATTTGTAGCAATGTCATTGTGGGAAGCTCCCTGCAAGATTTGCTGTTCCAAACTTGAATGATACTGAAGCATAAAACAAACATGATTTGTGCAACTCCTGCTCAGATTGTACTCTCTGGGAAGCGTTGGCTGCCCTTGGTTTCCATTCTCAGATGGTGCCCCCCACACTCATTCCTCCAGGCTGCCACTTAACAGACACATTCCCATTTCCTATCATTACATTTTCCATAACTCTTTATGAAATAAAATATTCTCTTCCATTCAAATAAGCCCCTTCCCAGCTCTGCCAAGATTGTCACAAAATGTTGTGAGTGCATTGTGCACGGGGATGGGGGGTGTCTAGTATTGACTTCTGTGTTCGATTATACAACCTCTGGAAATACTTTTGTTCATTCTGTGGGTTCTTAAGATACATTAGTTCTCGTTTGCTGTAACAAGCAGCATTTTCAGCCACCGTGAATGGAATGTTTCACTTTAACATTACTTCCTGTAGGCTGAGCAAAATCATTAAAACATCAGCAAACATGTTTATAGCAGAATGCTCTCCTAATTAGTCATGGTTCCTTTCACTTTAGTGTCCTTTCATGTGAAGTTGGCTGACTCTTTCAGTAGCAAGCAGGTGAAGGGAGGGCAGCAGTCAGCCTGTTTAAAGGGCATCTTCTTAGATTTCCATGACCTGCCCTACTGTGAGGTGGGGTCAGTAAGGTGCATGTTCATGAAAGGGGCAGTAATTCTGCCAATCTTGCCATGGAACTGGGGTGGAGAGAGAGAGACTTAATTTATCTCTACAGACACTATAAACCTAATGGGGGAACAAGAGCTGTTGGGAGTGTTTATGCTTAGAGTCCTTCTGCCTTATGCTCTGCCTGCACATACATACAAATAAATTGTGTATCCCAAAGACACCATAAGCCTTCACACAGCAGCCTTCATTCCAAAGAAACCAAACCCATGGTATGTGTTGGGACCCCTGAAACTTTACTGCTTGGAGATTGGGTTGCACATAACAACACTTCCTAGAATCTGCAGAACTTTCTGAAATTCCACAAGTTTTGATTTTGAGATAGGCAATTGGCACAATGTTATTGTAACAACATCAGCTTCCTTTGAGTCCATCAGCTTCTATCATATTTTTCCATCTGTTTTTTATGTATTTATTTATTGGTATTGGTATTGGTATTATAAGGTTGCAGGGCAAGTAAGGAAGGCACAAAAATAATGGTTGCTATTTGATGCTAGTTCCACTCTGAGCAGACCCACTGAAGCTAATGGTCATAACTAACTTAGATTCATTCAAGGTGATGGAAGGTCATGTAAGAAAGACCTGCTTGGTAGTGGCTATCAAGTTCAGGAACACACTTCCTGGGAATTCAGCTACCACCAACATGGCCCCAACTTCTTTCATCTGCTTTGCATGTAGAATGTCCCAAGTTCAATCCCTTACAGCAGGCTTCCTCAACCTTGGCCCTCCAGATGTTTTGAGACTATAATTCCCATCATCTCTGACCACTGGTCCTGCTAGCTAGGGATCATGGGAGTTGTAGGCCAAAAAACATCTGGAGGGCCGAGGTCGAGGAAGCCTGCCTTACAGCATCGCCAGGTAGGGGTAGGAGAGAACCTCCCTGCCTGAAACTTGGTGAGCCATTGCTGCCAGTAGCTGCAGGCAGTATTGAGCTAGATAGACCAATGGTCTGACTCTCAGGCAGCTTCCCATGTTCCAATGACGAGTGAAAATATTGCTCTTTCATTGGGTACTTGCTTAGAACACCTGTTTCATTTTGTTCTCCTTGCTGTGATTTTTGCTGGTGTTTTTTGCTCTAGCATTAGGTATTCCTTTTTTGTATTTGTTTGCACCCCCAGACTTACCATTTTTGGTGATGAAATAGCAGTGGATGCTTCATCTAATAGCCAAATGTTTGAGTGCAGTCCTGTAAGGTGGTTGCTGGTGCTTGGGGAGGGGAGCAGGTACAAAAGACAAGGCTTTCAGCTGCAGCAACACAGAAAGATCCCTGTTGCTGGTTCTTTCAAATCATGGCACTTTGCTTTTTCTAGCAGCCCCTTGAACTGCCTGAATGTTCCTTTGTTGTTTGGCATCCAGTGAAATGCAGCGTCATGAGCTAATAACTCTTTCTGTGCTGTTGTGATTGCTGTTGTCATGTCTGGAATAAACTTTGCTAGATCCTGGCCATTCCTAGAAATCTTTGTACATCAACCTTATTCTTTGGACCAGGCATTCCAATGCTGGCTTTGATTTTAGTTGCATCAGGTATTAGGCCATCTTTGGTTAACCTATGTCCTCAGGATTTAATTTCCGACATGGCAAATCTGCACTTTTCATTCTGTTTCAGGTTCCTCTCCCAATACCTGTCTGGAATTGGCTTCAGACATTCTTGCTGATGTTTACCTACTATGATGTTGTCAGTTCAACATATGACGCCGTCATACAGGGGGCCTCTTCAGTCATTACCATTAAGTGGCTCTTGAAAACATTTCTTTTTGTTTGGCTTTATTGACTTTCTATGTGAGTTAGTAATGTAGTTGCTGCTGCTTTACTGTATTTAGTGGTGACTGGTTTAAACTAAATGCTCCTTTAAAAATATTTTATTGTTTGCTAGCTTTTGTAAAGTTAATGTGTAAATGTATTAAAATAAATAAAATGGCAACTGGTACCTATATGGAGCTGAAGCGATACCAAATGGTAATTAAGAGAAAATTAATCACTAATGATCCAAATGTCCTAAATGGGAAGCATAAGAGGCAGATCCTGCAAGAAGGAAGTTTCTGATTAGTAGCCTTGAAGAGCTGCAATGACACTTGGCTGTTCTGCAATCAACAGCATGAGCCAGTGTGGTGTAGTGGTTAAGAGCGGTAGACTCGTAATCTGGTGAACTGGGTTTGCATCTCCGCTCCTCCACATGCAGCTGCTGGGTGATCTTGGGCTAGTCACACTTCTTTGAAGTCTCTCAGCCCCACTCACCTCACAGAGTGTTTGTTGTGGGGGAGGAAGGGAAAGGAGAACGTTAGCCGTTTTGAGACTCCTTCGGGTAGTGATAAAGTGGGATATCAAATCCAAACTCTTCTTCTTCTTCCTGCAATTGCATACCGTGAGAGGAAATTTCCACCAACTAGCCATTCCTAAACTTGAAAAAAGAAGAAAGGAAATATGGACAATCTAATATGAGGGTGGTCCATTCTGACAGAGGATCTGTATTCCAGTTTCGGGGGTGGTGGTGG